AGAGGCCCGCCCTGTGCCAGAAACCAGCCGTGCTGCTGGGACTTGAGGCGTTTCACTCATTTCCCCCCGGAGCATCGTGACTCCCAGCGCTGGACAACCTCAGCTCTTCCCCGGGCCGCCTGCTCCTCGCAGACCACCAAAATCAGCACAATAGCATGGCACGCAGGACTGACACGTACCACAGCACACAAAAGGTTATTCCCCAGGGCAGGAGAGGTAATTTCACCACCGTGCAGCGGCGTCAAGGCTTTTCCTGGAAGCAGCGACCTGCCCAGGGCCACGTTTTATGAACCCTGGGGGAAACCACAGCAGGAACCAACTAGATGGTGAGTCGGCTCACGACTCTCACATAACGTAAGCGTCAGGCCTCAGCTGCATCTTTTCACGCCCCGTTCAATGCATCCTTCTGACAGGCTGCCAACGGCTATGCTAATCTGCAGGCGTGAATGGATCCTGGGTTTATCAAGCCATCTGCGGGGAGGGGCATTCGCTTAATGTATAGGAAAGAGAAAGACCTCAGAAAACATCATGTGATCACCACATTGGCCCTCAAAAGCTGAATGAGTTGCAGTGCTCACACATTCTCACTAGTTATTCTTTTTTAAAACGTGGTGAAAGAAAAAGACTAAATTAATTTACGTTCTGTTAAACACTGAGCCCGGTCTGCCTGACGCCGTGGAGCTGGAGAGACAGCAAGACCACAGGGTGTTCCCTCCCTCCAAAACCTTAGTTAGTATCTCAGCCGAGACACACGCATGTCTGAAGCTGGAATAAATATACAGGATGCTCTCTGCCATCAAGAAATTATTACCATCTCAGGGGAAAAAAAAAGGGAGTTCATTTTGTCTAGAAAATGATTTTCCTCAACTTAGACTGCCGTGAGCTTGCGTGGGATGGCTAGGCACAAGGCTTGGGATCTGTAGCCATATTCCTTCTGTTGCGTCACGGTGGAGGAAGGAGGTGACTGCTAGGCTAACACGAACACATGCACGCGAGAGATCGGGGGGGCCCATGCAGTACCGCAGAGACAAAGAAAGAGGGCTGTTTAAACAGAAAATTAAAGAAAAAGTATTTCAGTTTGCATCGTTCAGCCCCAGCATTCCTGATTGCTCCCACAGCTGCCACTTCACTGCTGGAAAGCGATGAGGCGACAGGATCATTTCACGGACAGGGAACAGCATTCCATGTAGGAATATACTTGCCATTTCTTTTTTGGTTTGAGACCTCGCGCTGCGCCCTACGGCTGCAGGGCTGCTTCTCTGGGCACCCAGCTCTCTGCTGACAGAGCAGCTACCAAATGCCAGGGCCTTTCTAGACACGTACAGGGCAAATCCCTCCACAGGGAAGTCCGAGGTAGATTTGCCTTTATTTAATTCTGTGTTAAAGGCAACAAACGGAGACGCTTTACCCTTAAAGAGCTCATGTTGACGCTTTCCCAATTCACTTGCAAGAGGAAGGAGGCTGTCGTGGTTTAACTCCGGC